CTTTCCAATCCCTCTCCACTCCCCCCCCCCCCCCCTGCTCCCACCACCACCACCACCACCACCACCAGCAGCAAGCTCCCTGAATGTGTGAACAGGTCTAATCACCAACCACCAGGCACCTGCTGGGCCCTGAACATCTGCTGAGTGAATAATAAACTGTACCCTCTGCGGCAGGGTGGGGCAGAAGACAGAAGCTGGCCTGTGAATCAGGAGCCCTGGGCCCTGTTCATGGTTTTGCTCCTGACCTGGTTTGTGACCTTGGCCCAGGGTACTTCAATCCCTGGGCCTATCTCTTCATTTGAAAAATACAGAGGTAGAACCAGGTAATCTTTAAAGCTCCTACCAGCAGAAACCTTCTGTGTCAATGCAGCAAAGACAGCAGTAAGTGCTCTCCATACTACAGGGTCCCAGAAGATGCACAGAATCAGCAGGAGAGGGGATCAAAGGCAGACCCATAGGAGGAAGTGCCGTGAGTCACCCTGTGGCTACCTCCACGGCTGCGCACCCACAGGGGGACCTCCTCTTCAGTCCACAGGTCCCTTGGCTTCCAAGGGACTCTTTGCCCAGTATTTTCCTTCAAGACTCAGGTACATACCACATGAGTTGAGGATCGTGTTTGGGTCCATTATCCCACTCTTACCTGGAAGAGTCTCCCAGAGGCCCAGACCCTTCTCAGAAGGGGTTAAGCACAGGCCAGTTCCCTTCAGCAAGACTTCCCCAAAGTTCCATTTGCCAGTGACCTCAATCTCTGCTCTGTACCAGGGCCCTACTTGCCCAGAGCAGAAGTCTATTCCAGGGCCCGGGGCGCTCTCTAGAATGCCTATTGTCCAGCTCCTTCCAAGAACTAATCAGCAGGCTGATTAGCACCCACAGTAGGTGACGGAGGCACCTTCCTGACTCTCCAGGGAAACCCACCTGCCAGGTTCAAACCTTGACCTTGTCCCACCCCAGCCAACTGGTGCTAGGACAAAGAGATTCCTGCAAAACCAGAAGCTGAATTTCACTTCCAGCCCTTGAAACTCCTCCAGGTTAAGCTGATATCAATCCTAAGGAACAGGTAACTGAAAGCAATCAGTTCAACTTGGGGCAGGAATCCATGTTGGTGACTTCAAGCCCCAAAGTAGGTGGCACAGCCCAAGATCAACTACTTAGCCTACTAAGCAATCTTTGCTAAGGACCAAAGCCCACCTACCTTTATAGAAAGGGGGTTTATGTTTGAGGACTAGAAAGTGGGTAATTTAACCAACATTTCAAAACAAGGTCAAATTGATTCAATCGACAATCCCATGGAAGGTGACAGCTCAAAAAAGATCAAATCCCAAACTAGTAACTATTCTATCCAGTTCCTGTTGGAACCATCTATCTGCACAGCCAAGGTAGCTGTAGACAGCACCTCATTTCCCTGGCCTCTGCTGGATTCATAAGGAACTCCTGAGTAGCAGGAAGAGTTGGCAGGCAGAGAGAGAGGTTACAGGGCTCAAGGCTGTGATTACTGAGCTTCAGGCTTCCAGAGCGCCAGCTATTCAAGTAAGCCACCGCCAGAAAAATGGCAGCTTCTCCGTCCTCTAGAAAGGCAGGGCCAGACAGAGCGAAGAGCCTCGGCTTGTGTCAAGCCTCATGGTGTATAAATCTCCTCTGATGAGTTTAATTATGGCAGAGTTAAGTAAAGGTTTCAGGGATACGGGCCAATCACAATAAGGGCAGAACCAGAGCTAAGAAAGGGCCGGACAGAGTGTGAGCCAGCCCAACACAGGAATGACGAGGGGCTGGGGCGCAGGACAAAAGCAGAACCAAATTCAGGGGTGGGGTGGGGTGCAGTGGGTGGGCAGGGATCCAGGATACATTAAGAGCTCAAATCCTTTAGCCTAATGTCCAAGCCCCGCACCACTGGCCCCAGGCTTGTACTCTGGCCTCATCTCTCACCATTCAACACTCAACTCTCTGCCCCAGGAATAATGAACCCCTTGCACATCCCAGAGTGTCACCCTGCCCCCAAACCCAAAGTCATTAACAGGAGTCCCCTGACCACAGGGGTACTTTAAAGCCCTTCCCCCAAGGAAAGGCGAGGAACACTTCAGGGAGAGCTCAAGGCCTGGCATTCCGAGAAGCTCTCCTCTACAACCAGAGGCAGGCGGGCTTGGCTCTGCTGCACCTGTAATCACCCCTCCTCAGGGTCACACGTTGGGGAGAGATACAGACAGACAGACAAATCATCACACACGCGGGCTACAAGCAAGGGAGTGACTGTGCACTGTCATCTCTCAGCCACCAGGAAAGATGTGGAAAACCCCTGCTCCTAAGACACCACCACTTCCCCAGCTTGGGAATCTCTCCTGCTCCTTATGTGGCACCGGACTCCAATACTTCAAAAAAACAGCATGAAGTTTTTCTCTGACAAAATTTGGCCTCACTCTAATTTTTAAATGCCACTAAGCACTTTTAGGCTGATCTAAGTGGATAATTGCAAGATCGCAGGGCTCTCTTTTTTTTCTGTTTCACCAACTTTTAAAAGATAGTTTGTACTTTGGGCAGTCCTTATTCCTTTTTGGAAGCAGGCTCATGATTTTTTTTTATTTTTAAGGCAAGTGTTAAGTGTGGGGAACTGACAGGGCCACCTTTTAAACTAGAGTAAACAGCAGTGGGCAATCACCGAGCAGCACAGAGCGGGGATGGGGGTGCAAGATACAAATCCACTTCAGGCTCGAGCCCGGAAGGGGTCCCTAACGCTCCGGCCCCACGGTCACAGACAGGAAAGTGACAGCCCCACAAGCTCCACAGCCCCTACACACACACACACACACACACACACACACACACACACACACACAAAGTGAGGACATACACGCACAGCGGCAGATCTACAGTCGCAAACAAAGCTTCTCCGGCCTCCCTCCCGCCCCGCCGCTAGGACTGTCTCCAAGCCCCCTTTGACTCCTCACCCGAGCCAGGCGTGTCTCAGGGCAGCCCCCAAATATCGCAATCTCTCCGCTGCCTTTCACGCTGATTCTGATTGGCACGCAATTTCACGGGAGCAGCTGACAGCCTACGTGTCGCTCAGCCTTCTGGGAGTTGTAGTCCATTTCTCTGCTTTCTGGTATTTGTAGTCCGTTGGAGGGAATCCTGTAGCGAACGCTGTTCTTGGTTTTTAGGGAGCGTTCACCTGGGCTTCGCCTAATTGTCCGGCTTCCTCACCTCACACTTCCATCCCACACATACACCCTGCTCATTGTTGGGGTACTTAATACTGAATATTTAGCGAGCCTCTTCTATGTTTTAAGTGCAGTTTCAGAGATGAATCAGATGTGTTTCTTCTCTAGAGACAAACAGGGACACAGAAAATTACAGAATAAGGTCCTCCATGAGGAAGTAGAGGGGCCTAAACACCTAGAAGCAGGGAAGGCCTCTCAGAGAAGGAGTCACTCAGGGTGAATCTCTAAGGATGAGCAGAAGCTTAGATAGGCTGCCAGAACAGCAGTCCAAGTGGAGGGCAGGGCACTGGCAACGGGAACGCATCAGGGGAAGCAGGTTGGGTACACTTCACTGCCTTCTTCATTCTCCAGCACCGCGGGCTCTGGATTCCCTTGTGTTCATTCAGGCTGCTCAGTCAGCTGCCAATCTCCATTACAAGAGCTGAGTGGGGCCCTCTCTCTGCCCCTGCCTTTGCCTGCAGGGACTATCTGGACCAAACCACCCCTCACCCACTAATATAGCTTTCTGCTTCCTCCTCGGAGTACTCAGAACCTCTCCTCCTCACCGGAAGAAGGCCTACTCAAGGCTGCCTGCCTCAGAGAAAGAACCACACAGAGGTGACTTCTGGCCCCTGGGAATGACAGGCTATAGACCCACCCTACCTCCAAGCCCCACAGCCCACAGTGAGGCTCCACACAAGCCCATATGAAGACACATGACACAGCAGAATACACATGGCCAAATGTTCCCCTTTATTATAGTTCACTCAGTTACCATAGACAGACACACTGGCTCAGGCAGGTCAACTGCCAGATGGAGAATGGTCTGTGTCTCCTAGAAACAAGGAGAACAGTGGGCACCAGCAGAATATAAAAGCAGGTCACTGGCTGGTTGCAGACCTGAGGATTCCCAGAGCTGACCTGGGTTTTCCTCCACCCCACATCCACAACCATCCAGCAGAGATTAATCTGTGCCCAGCCCCCACCCCTTTGATCCCTCCCCAGGAAAGTGCATGGTTGCCTGGAGACGTAGCATCCCAGGGCCTGGACAAGCTGGGCCACACACAAGCAGCAGGCCTCCCAAAGGGCAGAGTCAGGGCATGGCCATACAGGTCTGAGCCAGGAAAGAGGAAAGGTAGGGAGGGCAGGAAATCGGTGGAGGTGGCAACCAACAGCTCATGGATCCTTGGCTGGCAGCTGGACCACAGGCCTGGAGCTATCAGAGACTAAGAGAAAAGGAGCCAGAGGTCTGGGGTGGGAGAGAGGACAAGGGAGCAAGAGTCCAGACCAAGGGTCTCTTTTCAGGTACTAGGAACTGTGACAAATGCTTTCCAGAGAGAAAGTGGTAGAGGAGAGAGCCAATCACACTCGCCCAAGCAAATGGGACCATTAGGAAGAGAACTTTCCAGAGGCCCTGGCTCCCCTTTTAGGAAAATGAAGTATTTGGAGCTGGACCAGGTGCTGGGTTCTAAGCTGGAGACAGCCCACAACGGCCAAGCAGGGTTTGGTTTTTCAGGCCAAGTACCCAGGTAGGAGAAGGGATAGTAGGAAGTGGGCAGCTGCTCCTGGAGGGAGAATTCACTCCTCTCCGGGCCTCAGACAGCCAGGGACTTTACCAGTGACATTCTCACAAGGCTTGGAACAGAACAGCCCTACCGGCCTGAAATCACTGTCCTGGAAGGGAAAGGGGTTCTGTCAGGTTGAGGAAGTGCCAAGAACTAAGGCCAGCAGGCAGAAGGGAACACGTTATCTTGATTTGATTAAAAAAAAAAAAAAGCCACAGAGCCTCTGTTCCCACTGCGCCTAACCTGAAATCCCACTGCAGCCATTGTGCCTGCAGATGGGATTGGGCCTATGCCTCTTCCTGGACCCTGAGTTCAAGTGCCCAGAACTGCCCTGTGATCAAGAGCTAGCTGGCATGGGGGAGACATGCTCCCCCCTCCTTGGGCCCTGCCTGCCCACTCCTCTGATCTTCCCTCCAGGCCCAGCCCTCCGAGCCTGTCCCTTCTACCGGACCCACACAGAACAACTACTGCTGCCGGGAATCCAATGGTCGGTCACTCAGAGACACTTAATACCTCCCAGTAGGCTTGAACCAGACAGACCTCACACAGGAACCAATAATTATTTACATATTCTCTGCTCTAGCTGCACCTCTGCATGGAAATTGCCTGAACACCACCCAGCTCTTCAGGGAAGGCAGTGGAATCCGCCCTTGTGGATAGAAGATGCCACCTGGTACATGATGGAGGTAGGACAGGAGCATCAGGCCACAGCAGCTGGGGGTTTGGGGAGGGACACAGGCAGAGGGGCTTGAGGGGGCTCTAGGAAGAGAAGGAGGGGAAGCAGGGAAAAGAGGAGCCTGCCCCTACTGGCCAAGCTCTGAGAGTCAGGGAGATAACCCTGCATTGCCATTCCCTAAGAGTCAGGTGCCATGGGGGGTTCTGCATCTGTGTGCCCTCCCACACAGGGCTAAAGCTCAGCTCCTCTGTCTGCTCCCTTGATCTAGGAATGGGCTCAGTCTCAGGAGCACATACAAATAGCCTTGGGGAAGACAGAATAGCCATATGGGGAAGAGAGAGACCCTGGGCAAAAGAAGAAACCACAAGGAATGTGACAGCAAGAAGAGAGGAGAGGAAGAAGAGGTTGAGGGGGAGGATATCCCGATCAGGAGGAGGAAGAGAGGGTCCTTGCCTGTCCTCACCCTCCCACCCACTACCACAAGTGCTTCCCAGTAAGACCAAAAGTGGAAACAGCTTCAGCTCATAATCCTGGGGATGGGGCCAGGCTCTCTCTGCTGTGCCTCCCCCTACCCCAAGAAGGGTCGGTCCTTGGGCAAAGTCAGAGGGGGTGGCCTGGGGGAAGGAGGGGGGCTGGTTTAGTTCTAAACATACATCTAGCACCACAACAACAGAGACCTCCACTTCACGCTATTTCACAAGGGGACATGGACATAGCTACTGCCACATGGGACAGCTCCACGTGTGGCCCACAGCTTTCAAAATGCTCAGAGAAGAATCCAAGAGGGTGGGGGTATAGACATATACATACATACATATATACATAGACATAGACATAGACATATATATATACATACATATATATATATATATGTATGTATATATATATATCTGATTCTTTATACAAAGTGGGGCAAGAGAAAAGGGAAGGGGAAACCCTGCTTGGTCACCACAACAGATGATGTGGCTTGAGCCCCCGTCCCACCAGCCCCCAGCCCTGCCTCCCAGGAGGCTTGGCTGGCTCACATCTCATTGGAGTATGTGTAGCTGGGGGTGGCGGAATACTGAGTCTGCGGCTGATTCACGGCCCCCTGGGCCGCCCCCATGGCTGCATTCTGGGCTGCTTGCTGCACCTGCGGGTTCTTCCATGCCCCTGTGGTCCACTCCTCCTGAGCTTTGCTGAAACTCCCCCCACTGCCCCGGTAGAATTTATGAACCTGTAGGAGGAGGAACACAAGGAAGGGTTAATCAAAGGGAAAAGGTAGGCCATCCAGAAAAGACATGGGAGCCAGAGACAACTCGCTGTAAATGCCAGTCCTCCCTCCCACCCATGCTCTGTGCATCAGGAACAAAGTCCACGAAGCCATTCCATAGTGAGTCCCTGGGAAGACTTCTGGGTCCTCCTATCATTTGAAAGAGGGGTTGCTACAGACCATAGTCTCTTTCCAAAGCCACCTTCTCACCCTTGAGGTGACCACATACCATGCTGAGGGCGATGAAGGAAAAGACAGCCATGACCGTGAACATGATGGTGGGAATGAGCATTACCACTGCTGAGCCAATGTTCGTTCCGAAGAAGGAGATGGTGGCAATCCAGCCGCTGTAGGAAGAGGCCAACTGTGAGGCTGCCCGGCATGGAGAGGGGTACCTAGGAGCCACCCGCTAGACACTAGAGCAAGGGATGACCTCATTGTCAGAGGCAGGGACCGTATCACTGGATGCAAAGGGACAATCTTACTAATCCCAAAGAGCCTGTGTCAGTGGTTCAGGAAGAACCCTCCCCATGGCTCAGGAGATGAGCTCCTCAGACATAAGGTTTCTTTCCCTTGGGTTGTCTCACGATGTCTGACACCCCTCAGTCCTCAAAAACCACTACAAGGTTCTCCTTCCCCTCTGATGCTGTGGCTGTGTCTACTACACAGGTCTGAATCCTCTCACATGTCCAATAATTCATTGTATCCCCACAGGCTAGGCAGCTTAGCACACAGAGGTAAGCAAGGACACACCCAAGATGCCACCCATGCCAGCCCTGGGTTAGTCCCAGATACCTCAGTCTCTTACCAGATGCCCCAGCCTGGGATGCCCACAGCCTGAATAATGCTGATGACCAGCTGGGCCATGAAGGTGAAGAAGAATGCCATGAAGCTGAAGGAGCTGTCAGTCCTGCAACAGAGGAGATGGCTCCCATCACTGGAGTAGAGGGCCAGGAACTCCCTGCCTTCGGGGCTCCCAAGCCCTTCCAAGTTGAAGTGAGTACACAATGGACAGAAGACATTCAAAGGCCTTAACTGAGAGTCCAAAATGGGACAGCACTGACCCACGGATCTTTGTAGGATTCCATGTGTTAGGCCTATGTGTGCAACATTACATAGGGAGATATCTCTTCATGAATGGATCACCCACTGGTACATGGATGGTTGGCACCGAAATAGATGGGCCCATTGTGGCAGGAATAAACAGCTCCACTGTCAAGGGGATGAAAAATTCCACTGAAACCAAAACAGCTAGGTCCACTGGTACTTGATGGATGGTCCCATAAGCTTAGAGATAGAAAGTCCTATTGGCACTAGAATGGACACCCTATTGGCACCAAGAAAGTAGCCTAATTGGCACATAATTGGATGGTCCAATTGGCAAAGACATTTGAGGCACTATGGATACGCCACTGGCCCCGAGACAGATAGCCTTGTTGGTATATGGATGAATAGTCCAATTGGCACAAAGATTGAAAATCCCATTTAATACAAAGTAGACACCCACTGGCACCAAGACAGCCCCTGACACGTGGATAGGTGTCCCTTTGACACAGAGTTGGCTGACCTCATTAGCACATAAATAGTGTCAGTGATATATGGGTGGCTGGTTCCATTGGTATATGGATAGATGGTCTACTTGGCACCAAATCAGCTAACCCCATGGGTACAAGGATGGGCAGCTCCACCAAGACAAGTAGCCCCACTGGCAAAATGTAATGTGCAGCTGCCTGGGGAAGGTGAAACAAAAACAGACCTGTTCTCTGTGTTGCCCCCACCCCAGCCTAGAGCTCCCAAGAAGCCCAAATCCTGCCTGGCAGTCTGAGCTGAGGGTGAACAAGGGCAAGTGAGTTTGGGAGACGTCAGGGGGTAAAAAAAGGTGAAAAAGTATGTAGAGAAGAGACAGGGGAAATGAGCAAAGAGGCAGGCTAGGAGCCAGGGTCAGCACCAACCACTACTTACTTGAAGGCTTTGTAAATGGGCCGAAACCAGCAGACGTAGGAGCAGGGTGTGAAGAGGATGAGCCAGAGAAAGGCGAGGCCAAAGTTGGTGGCTCCCCCGCCTCCGATCAGCCACGCGAGACAGCCCACCAGGTTCACGGCCAGCGTGACGCTGTTCACTGCAGACCCAGGAGCACATGCACACAAAGAGACAGATGGCAGCACGCACACAGACACCAGGCCCATGCAGAGACATAGACACGCACACCCATAATTCAGCACAGACCCACAATCACACACATGCAAACAGTGCAAGCACAGAGAGATGTGTACACAAACACACACGCAAGCCACATTTATACCCATTCACACCCACATCAGTGAAGACACACACACACACACAGAAGGAGTACAGAGTGTAAGAAAGAAAGCTGGGAGCTCAGACCAACCGCCTCCCCACACCCTCTCCTGGGGACCTGAGAAATCTGGAGAACCAACAGCCTCCGGGACAGAAAGCCGGAGCCTCAGCCCAGCAGGCCTGGCTGAAGACCCCACAGCCTCAGGGGAGTAGAAATGCTCATCTCCCTTCAGCCCCTGGCCCTCCCAGACCCACAGCAATCACCAAGGCCAAGGCACGGGAAACCCTCCTTCATCTTCTCGTGCAAGGTAAGAGCACGAATATGGGAATGGAAAAGGTCTTGTGGGAACATTTATTCAAGCCATCGTACCATCTGCCTGCACTTAAGTGGGGCAGGCAATGGTGGTTGGGATCTCTGTCTTTATCTAATCCATGTCTTAGACAGCTAGCGTTCCACCTCCTCCAAGAAGGCTTCCGTCACTGCTGCAGCCTTACTCACCTCCCATCCCTCTGACCTCCTACAGACCTCGGCTGCTCTCATGGTTCCCCAAGTCCAAATCCCAGCCCATCAACCAGACTAGAAGCTCCCCAAGAGCAAAACCCAGGCTCCCTCTCCTCTGTGTCCACATAATCTAACTGAACCTTGGAATCACAGTATTACTGAGTACAGCCAGCAGGGACCTCAAAGACTCCTCATCTGATGCTAGCACTAACACACACCCAGGTCTTCTGACATCAGGGTGCTCCCTTCCTCAAACATTAGGCTGAGTCCCTTTAAGGCTCCACAGAGACCTGCTGAGTAAACAGAGGTAGGTGGGGTCAATCTTAGCCTCAAATAGCCAGGCATCTATGGTCCTGGCTTCTGAATAGAACCTTTAAGCATCTTAAGGGTTACATACATTTCTTTGGGAACACAGTATCTGGCAGGTGCCTAGAGAGGACTTAGGAAGATATTTATAGCTCTTAAATCCAGCTCCTGAGTGAGAGCTTCTCAGGGGCAGAGTTCCCAGAGCCCAGGGTCAGGTGGAGTGCTCCCCAGGTCTGGCCTGACAGCACTGCCACCTGTGCACGTACACCCACCCCAGGCGCCTCATAAAGAGGGTGAGCATTTCTTCCTGTGTGTTTCAGCTGCATTTCCTCCATCCCTGTTTACTGCCTCTGAATTTCCTGGAACCTTGGTGTTCTTACTGATTTTATTTGCACCTGTTTCTATACTATTCCCATCTCCCTCCAGCCCAGCTGAGCTAGTGCCTTTGCTGCAATTATTCTACAGCCTCTTTGGAATGAACATCCACTGACTTGGCCACTCTCTCTCTAGCCATCAACTTTTTTCCATCTCTCCTTCTCTGTTTGCCTAGCTAAGATTCCTTACTTCATTGCACTCATTTTCTTATTCCCTCCCCTGACCTGTCTTCTGGTCACATTCACCCTGGATGAACTAAACTCCCACCTGGACCTGAGCTGAACATTGCTAGGAAAAAAGGAGCTCCCCAGCCCCCAGAGAAGCCTGGTAGGACTATAAACTCATGACAGCCAATCTCAAGTGGGCCCTACCATGGCCCAGAAATATCAGGGGTCATGTTTCTTTGGGTAGTGTTCCCACCCTCTGTCCACAAAGGTGCTTTCATTTGAATCCCAATCTCCTCAAAGCTCCCATCCCCACTTCTACACATTTGATGGAAAAAAAGTGGAAGCCATCAGAGACCACCTACTCATTCTATTCCCAACCTCTACAGACCTCCCAACACCTGCCCCATCCCTTCCTTCTCTCATGTTACGTGGGGAAAGATGCCCCCTGGTTGCCCAAAGGCCAAGCCAGGACTGGAAACTGAGTCTGTCTGTCCCCATACTCTCAGGATTCCATAGAATCTGCTACAGAGAGCATTCTTTACCACCTTCCTAGCACCACAATCATCTCCCAGGAAAGCAGCCAAGTGCAGGCCCGGCTCAAGGCAATGTCACACGTGGCATCACGGCTATGGTCACCCTGTGGGTATCTGGGGTTCTTTGGGCTGGTACCCAGCAGAGGACTGCCAGCCTACCCTCCCTGCACATGCCTAAGAGGTACCTTTGAACAGCCTGGGCACAGCCAAGTGCCATCCCCCTAACATGATACCTGTCCCACCAACTTGCCACAGACCATCAGAAACTAGGGCGTTTAAACTCCTGACCCCAAAAACTTAGAACGTTCAAACGCTAGAGTCTTAGTAGTACAGGCCACACCGCACAGAGCTCCTTGGAAACACAGTGATCACTGAGCCAACACCCTTGATCTACAAATGAGGAGCCTGCTGCTTGGGAAGTAGAGCGACCAGCGCAGCTTGATCCCCTGTCACCCAGCTCCCAGTTGAATGGTCTTTCCTTTGAGCCATTTTCCAGAGAAAGCAAGGAAAATGAGGCTTTGAGGGAGGGATCCCTCTCCGAGTCCAGAATTCTGAGGTCCTGGCAGCCACCTGGAAAACGACTCCAATGGGAAGGTGAGGGAGGGCAAGAAAAGTGGAATTACACTGCAGACAGAGACCCCTCCCAGATTCCCTGTGAATGGGAGAAGGGGGTGAGAGCAGGAGAGGCCTAGATGGGGGGGTTGAGGGAAACTGTGGCCCAGCTGAGGAGTCAGCCATGGGAGGAGACTGCTGGGAGTCGGGTGGCCCATGCAGATACTGCAGGTGGGGCTGAAGGAGGCTGGACTGCAGGCACCCGCCCTAATGCCCCACACCCACCAGCCTTCCTCCATCCTCCACACCCCCAGCTCGCCCACCCCATCCCAAAGCACTCACACATCCAGAGGTAGTAGAGGCGCTTGGTCATGCTGAGGTGCTGGGGAGGGATGTCTGCCTCAAAGTCTTGGTAGAAACATGGCTTCAGCGGGATGAATTTGGGCAATGGTGGGAAGTTATTCACTTTCTCTGTGGGTAAGGCACATTGCACGGCATCATTTTGAATGTTCCCCTCCCCAATGATACTGGATTCAGTATCATTCCTTCCCTGGCCTGGGCGGCCTCGTGGGCCCCTGCTATCTCCACCCAGCCATTCCTGCTTTCCTGGGTCTGCGTGAGGTTCCCAATGTAACCACAGTGTCACTGTCTCTCAGAAGAAAAACAATAAATGCTGTCCATCGGGGTGCAGCACCCTCCTCAGTAGGGAGCCAGTTCCAGGCAGAGGAAGCAGGACAGTGAGTATGGAAATGGGGGTTCCAGCCTCCATCCCAATATTCTGCTCTTGGGCAAGTCACCACCCCTCTCCGGACCGCAGTTTATGCAGTGGGACAAAGGTTGAACTAAAGAGTCCCTAAAAGCCCCTCCAGCTCTGTACCTGAGCCTTTGGGAACCAGACAACTCAGAAACCAGAGGAGAAGGTCTCAGAGCATTACAGAGCAATGGTGACAAAGGGGATGGGGACTAAGCCACCCATGCCGCTCATCAGTCAGACTGCCAGTAAGACCAACATATCAGGGTGCTTGAACCCTGGTCCCCAGGCTCAGAAGTCTGACAGAGGGTTAGACCGTGTCACGTTGAGGGTCTCAGATAGACAGGCCTCAGTGGGGGACCAGGGAAAACCTGGGGACAAGAGGGCAGAAAGAACCTGAACTCCAAATACTAAAGGGAGTAAGGGGACTAGGAAACGGCCACCCACTGTATGTCCTACCCACATGGCCTGCCCGCTCCTTACCTGCCATGATGGCACCAGTCAGCCCAGCAGCCTGCCCACACCTCTTTGTGCTGAACTGGAAGGAAAGAGAAGCCAGAGAAGGGTGAGGATCATGGCCGGGCCGAGCCAGGCCCCAGCTGGGCTGGGAGTTCCCTGGGGCAGACCCTGCTCATTCTCACACCATGGGATGAGCCCCACAGAGGCAGCTCTCATCTCACAGAGCCACCCGTCTAGTCATAGAAAATCCCCTCCAGGGTAGGGAAGGAACCTGGGAAGGGACCCCATGCAGGAAAGGGCAAGTGACAGAGAAGGCCTGCAGGACCTGAGACCTCTGAGAGGGAATCCGAGGCCTTGACCCGGGCCTCAGTCACAGGTTGAGCTCCCCGCTCTGTCCTGCCTTTATCTTCAGTCTTTTCTTCACTAACTGGGAATTTATAATCTGTCAGGCACTGGGGAGATGGCATGAGTAAGATGGGTGTGGTCCCTGCCCTCTGCATGAAAGAGCCAACAGCCTCTGCAGTATATAACGTAAAAGGGAAGGATGGCTGCTATGAAAACACACAGCATAGATCAAGGTGATCTAACCTGGTTTGGGAAGTCACTGAACTTTAGTGTAAGCAAGAGTAAAATGCTGGACGCAACCTAAATGCAACTGTTTGAATGGACTATGGTGCATCATTCACTGAAGCCCTCCATAGATGTGAGAAAGAATAAGGATGATGTCTATGAACTGCTATGGAGTGATTTCCAGGGCACACTGTCAAGTGAAAAAAACAAAGTTCAGACAAGTATAAACAGTATGCTACTTTTTATGTAAGAAAGAAGGAGAAATAAGAACATGCATATAAATTTGCTTATTTTGCAAAAGAAACACAGAAAGAGTAAACTAGAAATGAATGAAATGGTCACATGATGGAAGGGCTAGGGTGAGTAGTGAGACTAATCTGGGTAAAGACTTTTCCACACTTTTGTACAAATAATGTCTTACATAATCAAAAACTTATTCAGAAAGAAAAGTAAACCCTAAAATTAAAATAAACAAAAACAAACGAAGCTAACTGCAGAGCAAATTGATAACACAATCACACAGAAACAAGAACTGTCCAAGTAACTTGTCACTGTCCTCTGTGTTCTCTTCGAGGGATACATTTCAGGGACAAAAACAACTAAAAAATATCTTCTATATTAGCAGGTTCACTGTTACCATTGGTACTAATGTGGTGATCCTGGAATGTTGTCATATTTACTACAGGAAAAAAAGCATATGAGGCCTGACAATTAAGTTCGCGAACTCATCCTAGAAAAAGTGCTACATACCTCATATCACTATTGTCACCTTCGAAGTACTCCCCTTGGGAAGCTATGCACCGATGCTAGTGCCTCGTCCACCCTTCAAAGCAATTTTGGAACGCTTTTTCTGGAATGGCCATCAGAGCTGGTGTCGCATTACCCTTGATGACCTGAATGTCATCAAAATGTCTTCCTTTCAATATTTCCTTTATCTTCGGGTAAAGAAAAAAGTCA